TTTCTAAGCAAGTTCACTGGTAAGGACTCTGGATGTATAGGAAAAAGCCAAAAGAATATCATACTAAGGTCATTATTCTGTGAAGGCATTTTTATAAGGGCTAAAGGGGTGATTCTCACTGGTTCTAATGCTGTGACCCTTTAATACAGTTCCTCATGTTGTGGTGACCCCCAACCATGAAATTATTTTTGTTGCTATGTCATAACTGTAATTTTGGTACTGTGTTTTCCAATGGTCTGAGGCAACCCCTGTGAAAAAGTTCGCAACCCACTGGTTGAGAACTGCTGGTCTAAAGTAAAAGTCTAGTTCTCAAAACAGTAACCATGACTCACATTTTTCTAAAGAGTATGTACTTGTCTTTAATATTTGACTACATTTATTTTTTTATAGATTTGTATGGTCCAGGGCATCTATGCTTATCATCATTATATGCAGGATCGGATAGATGACAATGGCTGGGGATGTGCTTATAGATCCCTACAGACTATCTGCTCATGGTTCAGACATCAGGGTTACACAGAGAGGTCCATTCCAACACACAGAGAAATTCAGCAGGTACAGAACTTGCCATTTTAAATTATAATCGATTGTATATTTCATTTGCTTTTAATAGGCCATTGATAATTATTATTACCCTGTGGCACAGTTTGTTTTTATTTTGGGAAAAATGTTATTTTACGAGTAATCAATCAGAATACCGTAACTATAATTTTAGTAATACAGATTTTTTTTTTGATACATAAAGGCTCTAGTTGATGCCGGTGACAAACCAGCAACATTCGTTGGATCACGGCAATGGATTGGATCTATTGAAGTACAGCTGGTACTAAACCAACTGATTGGTGTAACTTCGAAAATATTGTTTGTCAGGTAAGGATGCTTTATAAACAAGACACATCATTTCTACATAACAGTTTATCATTTTTATTAAAGTAATCGAAAAATGACTTTCTCCTTATTTATTTCTGATCATTGCTCTTCCTCACGTCATTACTTTATAAATCTCATTGTTTTAAAACAGCTGTGATATATACATGTATTCTCTAGACCTAATTTTAGTCTATTCATGGTAACTTAGAAATATGTTATTCTTGGGTAGAGTTCTAGATACAAAATGTAGTTTTCTAATGTTTAAATCTTCAGAAAGTCTTATAAGGAGAAAAATAAATGTTGGCCACTGACCATTATGTTTTCCTTTTGTTCTTTTTCTTGGTAAGATGTTAATAAACCAACAAATGTAAATATATAAATATGATATGTAAATATTTATCAATTTATATTTCCTACAATTCTAATAATTAAATAAGAGAAAATACAAATTAGCCTAAATCGTTTTTATAATCATAAATTGCTTTTTTATTAAACATCTAAGAAGCTGTTGATTTAACCACCATAAACATTATACTCTGATTTTTTTTTTTTTACATATATATAAAATTTTATTTTGGTAAATAAATCAGACATAACATTATTGCAGTCAACACCAAACGCCCCCAGGATACAAGAGCGCCTTGGCTCAGGCCTGAGTTTGAGATTCCCCAGGCTATGACCGATCCACTCTAGAGGCTGAGACAGACTGAGGCCTGAGGAACCACACTTGTGCTTTGGGTCCTACAAAGCCCCAGAGAGAGATTTGGAGCCAGTGGGGAGAGAGAGCTGCAAGGTGAAGGAGGAAGGTCAATGTCTTCATGGGCCTACTCCTATAGGAGTAGTGGGAAGTCAGGGAGCCAAGTTTGGTCGAGAAAGACAGAATTTGGTATGCCATGTGTTAGGGTCTATCACGATGATGCACAAGGGGTACCATGGCAGGCCCATGCCAAGGTGTACCCCAAGGAGTTACCCACGCAGCAGTCTGGTATAAGGAAATTATTGGGGGATGAGAGCAAGGCAGCAAGCGAGCCATGTAGACAGGCAGAGGGACAAGGATAGAACCATGAGGGCAGAGAAGAGGACAGAAAGGGGGAAAGGGCTGGAACAGAGCTGGAGTGGTGGGAGTCCTTATAGTCTGCACACACGCAACAGATCTGGTTTAAGGAAGATCACTGGGGAAAGGGAGAGGAGGGCCTAAAGGAGGTGTAGAAGCAGCAAGTAAGCCTTGAGGGCAGAGGGGGAGGGGAGGGAGGGAAGGAGAGAGAGAAGGGAGAGAAGGGAGCACCTAGAACACAGAGGGGCTGGAAGCTGGGGAGGTCCTTACAGCTCCCACACACCTGGCACACATGGCAGAGGCAGGTGATGACTCAAGATGCTGGGGCCCTGTAGGCAGGCCAGCAGAATCTCCTGTATGCTAACACCATGGAGACCTAGTGCTCCCTCCGCTTTCCATCAGTGTGCAGCCATGAGCATGGACATCATGATTGTCAATTAAGGTAACAACCTTAATTGTTGTCTTCCAAAAGTATTGGGCTAGGCAGTTTGGGGGACCATATCTATCACCCCAGGAGAGGATTCTCTGCCTATCCCTAGTGTAATAACCAGCTATTTTGGGTGAACCAGTTACTGAGGGTCCTACCCTACCCAACTCCTAGACACAACATAAAAATAAAAAATCTGGGGATGAATTTTCTTCTGCCTTAATTAAATAAGTTAAACATTTAAAGACTGTTTCCATGGGCTTGCTTTAAACTGTGTTTATTGATATAAGACTTCAAATTGTCTTGTATTTGATAACTACAGTAATATTTATTGTCTAAGTACTTATAATATTTCTGATCTCACAATTAGAATTGGAACTGTGAGAATCATTAAGAAATAATGGCAGATAAAGCAGTAAAAAACTACTTAAAAAATTAAAGTTTGGGGCTAATGAGGTGAAAGGCGTTTACAGACAAACCTGACGACCTGAGTTCAATTCCCAGGACCTCCCTATGTTTACCATGGCACAAGTGTACACATACACACTCACAGAGCACATAGTTTAAGAAATTAAAAAATGTTTTGATACATTATACATTTGTTACCAGCTTAGCCTAGAGCTTAACACCTAGTATTCCACAAAAATAATAGTTCCTACTAATGATTACCATTTTTTTTTAACTTTATAATGATGAATTTTTCATTTGGTCTTTCATATATGCAGTACAAGATTCAGACAGTGGTGGGCAGTAGCAACAAATCTTAGCTCCCAGTTAACCTTTCATGACCGGAAACCAGTGGGATCTGCTGTTTGATAGCAGAGATACTAAATACATTTTAATACATTTTACTCACAGTATTTCCAACTTGGAATGCTCAGGACTGTATGTACTTTTCATTCTCCCCTTCTCTTCTCAAAAGTGGAAAGCACTTAACATTTTCAAATACTCGATGAAATAATGTACTTGAAAACACTTGACTTTTCATAGAATATATTAGTCCTAGAATCTTTTATCTATATGTGGGAGAGGTGTTATTGCTCCTAGTTTACAGATAGAAAGAATTTTGAAACTGTTCAATCTCACGTTAAAAATCCAGCCCCTTTATGCAGTTCTAGAAGCAGGAAAGCGGCAGTCTTTTCTTCTCTTCCCTAGTTAGGAGCCTTAAAGTGTCAGCATTTATGTTGCAATGAATCAGGTCCCTACCACTTCATCTTTTTTTTCCAGATCCACAAACAAAAAGATTAAAAGTATTGCCCCCACCAAATTCATTACTTGACACAATGCTGAAAATAGTTATTTCATAGATGACTTCTTTTTATTTAGCCAGGGTTCAGAAATGGCCTCTCAAGGACGGGAACTGGCCAACCATTTCCAGAATGTTGGCACTCCAGTCATGATTGGTAAGGTGCTTTGGACATGTTGAATTCTTCTGGCAGAATGGAGAGTAAATGAAACTTATTTGTATGTTCTAATGTTACCTTAAAAACTAGTCATTTTAAACATTTTAAAATTGGGTTTGGAGAGATGGTTTAGTGTCTAAGAGCACTGGTGGCTTTTCCAGAAGACCTGGCTTCAGTTACCAGTACCCACGTGGTGGGTCACAATCATCCATAGTTCCAGTTCCAGGGACTCCAATGACTCTTCTGATCCTTGCAGGCAGTGCATCACATGGTACACAGACAATAGATGTAAAATAAAAATTCAAACATTTTAAAGTAAACTTATACACACTACTCTTTGGACTTTAATTTCTCAAGGGTAGAGAAGTTGCAAAAAAGAATTAGTAACCAAAAATAAATGCTAAAAAGAAAATGATAACTGTTTGAACATTTAAAGAGCTAAGAGTAGTATTTTGAAAGGTGATAGCCACTTGATTAAGCCTCCTAAGTCATGACTATGTCACTAACTTGTCTGGTTTTATCACACAACAGACTACTTAACCTTCTTTGGGTTTTCTTTGTAAAATAAGATTTGGTGGGGCTGCTGAGATTGCTCAGTGGTTAAGCGCACTGGCTGCTTTTCCATAGGTCCTGAATTTAATTCTCAGCAACCACATGGTGGCTCCTGGCCATCTATAAAGGGATCTGATGCCCTCTTCTGGCATGCAGCTGTACATGCAGACAGAGCACTCATACATTTAAAAATAATAATAATAAAATAAAAAGATTTGAATAATTGAGCTAGGTACATGATTCTGTGGGAAAAAGCATAAGATGAATCACTCTAGTGTATAAGAAGTAGAGTGTCACAGATAGGCTAGCCACGCTCAGCAGATGCAAGAGGACCTGCTCTGAGAAGCTCCTCAGTGATCTCTACACTGGGAGGAGCTGCCTTTTCTACATATTAACATATGTAATAGTCATTACATATATAAGCTTACCCTTTCAAGTATATTTGCCATCTTGGTCTTTTACATTATTGGGCAGTCTATTCTAATGCTGTCAGTAGGCAAAACAATCAATTTTTTATTTTAGTTGAATAAGCAATTGAAATTAATTTATGCCCTACTATATATTTCTTTTTTCTAGGGGGAGGAGTATTGGCTCACACAATACTAGGAGTTGCATGGAATGAAACTACAGGACAGATAAAATATCTAATTCTAGACCCACATTATACAGGTGCTGAAGATCTACAAGTTATCTTGGAAAAGGTAAATTATCTGTATCACATATATTTAAGACCCAAGGCAAAGAAAGTCAGAAATGGCTGTTGACAAAGATAAGCCAAGGTATTATTATAACAAGATAATGATCCTCACAGCAGTATTTCTAACTCTGTTGAGTAACTCTGTTTCTATGTAGAGAAGAAAGGAAATACAACAGAATCACAAAAGCTTTGCTATTGACTAAACTTCCTAATGCAACATGATACATTTCCTTCACAGATTTTGTAGCACAGTTATATTGTCTTGTCGAAATCTTAAAACAAGAGAGCAGGATAAACTTCTATACTGTTAAGACCGGGTACTGGGATGAAGAGTGAGCAGTTAAGAGCTCTTGCCCTTGATGCAGAGGACCCAAGGTCAGGTCCCAGTTCAGTTCAGTTCTGGGTGCACACTTTAGGTGGCTCACAGCCACCTGGAACTCCAGCTCTAGATCAGCATCTCACTTAATCAATAGATAAACAAAATACCAGTTATTATGAAGATATGACTACTCATTTATGTACATATAACATAATTCTACAAAGACTGGAAGTTTTGGCAAATTTAGAATTTGTTGTCATAGTATCAACTACATAAGGTATAAATCTAAATTGATTTATAGCCAGCTAATTCTCACGTCAGGTTGGTGGGATGATTCAGCAGGTAAAAGCACTTTCTGCCAAATTTGATGACCTGAGTTTAATACCTAGAGCCTACATAGCGGACAAGAACCAACTCTTGCAAGTTGTCTCCTGACTTCCAAACAAAAAATAAATATGATTTCTTTATATAATAGCAACATTTTTCCTTTCAAAAGCAAAGTGTTAATTCATCTAGCACAGACCCAAAAGTTACTTTTCTTCACTTAGAAAATTATTCAATTACATTGGTATCTGAGTCTTATGCCAAGTTCCTGCTGCCAGAGCTTCATGTTAGTTTCCATCGTGGAGTCTTTCTTACATTATAAAAGGTTTTCGTTCCTTTCTTCCAAATCTAGGGCTGGTGTGGATGGAAAAGCCCAGACTTTTGGAACAAGGATGCATACTATAATTTATGCCTTCCTCAGCGACCAAATGCAATTTAAATTATCTTGGAGTCAAGACTATAAATATAAAAGAGCTGTTCTAATGTTAATAAAAGAATAATTTAAAATTGCATCTTTAAACTATGATTTTTTTCAAAAGCAGTAAAGAATGCATAGAAATTTTAATTCCTTGAATATTATTTTAATAAGTTAAATAACAAAGTATGCAGTCAAATTGTCATAGTCATGTAAACACATGAATTCATGAATGTTCTCTTCACTTAGAAGAAAGTTTTCCTCCTCGGGAAGTTTAGCCATGTGGTAAGCCAAAGCCACGGCTTGTAGATCTGTCTGAAGTGAAGCTCTTTTTCAAGCTTCTTCTTACCCAGCAAGACATTTTAAGGGGACTGGAGAAATGGCTTAGTGGTAAGAACACTTTCTGTATGATCACGAGGACTGGAGTTTGTATCCCAGCATCCAAGCAACAAGCCAGACACACTACAAATGCCTGGCCTCCCAGGTCCAAGTGTTGGGTTCAGGGAGGAAGCCATGAAAACTCATTTCAGAGACAGAAGTTTTAAAAAGGAAATCTTTATTTTCTGAGCACTTAGCTCAGGATCTGAACCTTGTCCCCAGGGGAAGCAGTACTGCATATTTAAAGGGTGAGATCACAAAATGAGGGGGGCTTGGGTGAGCGGCAGGATCATCCACTTGTATTTTGACATTGAAGTTAGTTAAGCAAAAGAGCATCTTTTGGAGACTGGGCCTTATCCAGGGCACCTGGCTTCAAGGTCCTTAACTCATTCTCCCAGACATTTAGTCTGGAATCCAAGCCCTTAACTTATCCATCCTCCTAGACATCTGGTCCAGAACTCAAGGTGATAAGGGGGACAAAGAAGGAGCTGGCAGGCAATTGGTTACATATTTTTACAACTTAGGCACCTTGGTTAAGATAACAGTAAGTTCTGCATTCTTTACTGGTTTAACAGACAATTAAACTACTTGGAAGGGCAAGGCGGGAACTGGTTCTTGAGCCTGGGAATATGAACTCAGCCTGACCCTGCTAACAAAAGGGGGGAGCAAAACGGAAGAGTTGCTTTTGAGAAGGCTGGGCTCTGGCAACTGCTTCCTTACCCAAGGGACCCCATGCCCTCTCCTGACCTCCACATGCACCCTTGAACACACACAGGCACATGATGGGGGTGGGCTGGGGACTTCTGAAAGAAGGTGGTCTCTCCCAAATTTTCACCATACAGGACAAATTTTGGTCTCTAGAAGATGGTACATAGTAACTATGACCAATGATAAAACTAAGACGACAAAAAGTCTGCTGGACCTTAGATCAGAATGCTGATAAAGTACAATAAATTCTATGCCAGAGAGACATCCTTGAAGGAGAAAGCAGGCAGCAGCTGGAAGGCACTTACCAACACTTCCTTTTCAAAGCTCTATTCTCCATACTTCGGAAACCTCGTTTCTGTCTCAGCACTGGGGCACAGGGATGACCCTCAGGTTTTTCGCTTGATGGTTTTGTTGTCTGCATACATTTAATCATTGTTAGAAACCTGGCACATTCTGGAAATCCACACAACCAAGCAAGATCTTCAGCTGTTTGCCCATTCTTATTACATAAGCTGAAATTTAGACAAAAAATGAGTTAAGTGAAAATTACTGCTTATTATTTTTCTATCAAAGGAAATTGGAGTACATACCGACACTGGGTACAAAATAACACACACACACACACACACACACACACACACACACACACACGTCAGGGTAAAGAAAGTTCCAGGAAATTAAATGTTGTTCACTGTTGAATGCTCAGTGTCTAGCACATTGCACATCATGGACATTCCATTATCTTATTTCACTATTGAAGAATTTGCATGACTGTGAAGTACCTGGTGTTCAATATTCACTATATTGAGTACCCAGTAGTCAATGAGAACTTCTATAGGAAGACTCTTCCTAAGCTAAAACTGTAATGGAATCTGCCATGGTGAAGACCCGCACCTCTGAATGCTTAGGATCTGTTTCTAATTACCCAATTTGATAATAACTACTGAAACAAGAACACGAAATGACCAGTTAGGCAAGCACGACCTTTAAGACCATGTATAATTAGGCTTTAGGAATACGATTAGTTTAATCTAAGAAAACACAAAGCCTGAAGCCACTGACTTTATACTCACTCAATCTGGGCATCACTGGCCACAAGCAGGCTAAGGCATTCCAGGCTTCCAACTTTTGCGGCCTTGTGTAGTGGAGTTTCTCCCAAAATATCCTTAGGACAAGACAGCACATTAGTTTCTCTACACATTCTTTGGAAGCCAGTGGGCAATCTAATATTAGCTATCTGAGGAAGCCAGTGAAAACTACCTTTTAACTGAAAAAGTGTGCCAACTGAATTATTTAACTGTATTTTTCATAAAGTTCTCTTACTCTAATACAGTTTCCTTTAATAAAAATATGCAGTTACATTTACATACGTTACAGTATAAGGGAGCCAAAGGTTTGTAGTTAAAAACTTCATCACACTAATGAAGATTAAAAACTACTGGAAGAGTTGATAGTCGGCATGTCTCCCATGTATTATTTCCTGGTTTACTGAGACTTGGTCAAACAGCAAGTATTCCCCCCCCCCAGGTTAGTACCAGCTTTATTTCTTATTTTTAAAATTTATTTTTGTATTAATTAGTTAATTCACTTTTTATCCCAGCTGTAGCCTCCTCCCTCGCCCCCTCCCATTCCCACCCTCACTCCCTCTTCTCTTTCTATGCCCCTCCCCCAGTCCATTGATAGGGGAGGGCCTCCTCCCTTCCCTCTGACCCTAGCCTATCAGGTCTCATCAGGACTGGCTGCATTGTCTTCCTCTGTGACCTGGTAAGGTTGCTCCCCCCTCAGGGGAAGGTGGTCAAAGAGCCAGCCACTGAGTTCGTGTCAGAGACAGCCCCTCTTCCCATTACTAGTGCACCCACTTGGGCACTTAGCTGCTATGAACTACATCTGTGCAGGGGTTCAAGGTTATCTCCATGGGTAGTCCTTGGTTGGAGTATCAGTCAGAAAAGACCCCTTTACCCAGATTTCTTGTTTCTGTTGTTCTCCTTGTGGAGCTCCTGTCCCCTCCATGTTTTTCTATCTCCTCCTTTCATAAGATTCCCTGCACTCTGCCCAAAGTTTGGCTATGAGTCTCAGCATCTGCTTTGATACCCTGCTGGGTAGAGTCTTTCAGAGTTCCTCTGTGGCAGGCTCCTGTCCTATTTCCTGTTTTCTCCCTCAGCTTTATTTATGTTTGATGAATCAATTATATGTTTCCTCCAGCAATGGAGTCTTACTATCAGTACCTGGAGGATGACCAATAATAGCATTGGTGATAATATGTAATGACTGGGATGTCTATATGACTCAGTAGCCAACAATTCTAAAAGAAGTAGCACATTTCTGGTACTGGGTTTTTTATTTGTTAGCCTGTGGTAACAGCAAGTACTTTTAAAACTTCTGTAGATGTATGCTATATAGTGATAGCCAGTAGTCACCTGTTGCTAAAGAGCATTTGAAATGTGGCTAGACTGAATTGAGTTATGCCGTTAAGAGTAAAATACATACTGGATTGTGACATGCGTTATGAAAGCAAAAATAAAATACCACATCAATCGTTGCTGATATAATTACATACTGAAACAGTATTTTGAATTAAAATTAAATCTCATGGCTTGTTTTTGCTTCATGTATGTGCATACTAAAAAAGTTTCAAATTAACATCTTGCAGTATATATAATTCTACTGTAAATTCTTATGTGCATGTTTACCCCAACTAAAACTGGCAGCTAGGAAACGCTGGTGCAGACACTGGGTGGAGGTGAGGGTTGTACATAGCAACAGTCGGTTACCTAGTTACCTGTTGATTGAGGTCAGCTCCGGTTTGCAGCTGCCAGAGAAGAAAGCAAGCAAGGCCCCCTCCTGCAGCTAGGTGAACAGGGGACTGCTCGTGGGGATCCGGGGGTGCGTTGACCGAAGTGCCTGCCTCCAGCAAATTCTTGAGGCCATCCTCCTGCAGGAAGAGAACAGACTGTCACATCCTGTCCTGCCTGAGCTCCCTCTGAGCTGAAAATCCACTCCACCAGAAAAGAAAGCAAAAATTTGACGAGGTTTGACTTGGTAACCCAGCGATCAGTAACTATCACCCTTGCTAGACCTCCCAAGATGGACTTCTGGGAGACTTAGCCTGCGGTCTTAAAGGGGCACGAGTCTCACCTCCAGGTTGCAATTAAGCAACAGCATCGCCCACCTAAAGCAGCTGACAAGAGTCCCGGGAGTGTAGAGCAACGCAGGCTGCACACTGGCAGGTAGGAGTGCACGGGGCTGCCGAATTCGGGAGGATTTAAAGCTCTCCGGAACTGGCAAGGGCGGCGGCTCCTCCCCACCGCTCCCCAGCCTGGGGCAATCCCACTGCCAGTTTCTCCACCGCACGGCTTTCCCAACCCTGCGGCGGCCTCACGCAGCTAAACATAGACACGTGCATCCCGCAACCCGGCCGAAGGGTAAGGGGGGGGGGGGTCTGCTGCGCAAGCCCGACGGCTGATTGGCCAGTTCGACCCCTGGGCCCGCCCCCTTTGGAGGGAAGCTCGGGCGGCGCCGGAACGCGTGCGCAGTGAAGGCCGTGGGCGGGGAGGACGCAAGTCCTCGCTTCTGCGCTTTGGCCGCGGCCATGGTGCGTGCTGAGCTAGGCACGTACCGCCGGGTGGAGTCGAGCCCCTTTATCCCTCTGGAGAAGCAGAAGTCTCCTGTGCCGGTTTTGTGTCTGCGGCTACGCACGTAGCCCGGAAAAGAGGGAAGTAAATGTAACCCCGCCGCCGGCCCCGCGTCCTCGGCCTCCAGCCTGGCCGGAAGGAGCTTCCTTCTATCTCGGTTCCTGCACTGCTTCAGGATGCTTGGGAAGGGAACTCCACAGCGGGGCCTTTGGGAGCCCCGCCGACGGGACCCTAACGAGGGGGTTGCCATAGGAAATGCTCGCCCAAACAGTGAATTAACAGCCAGTGCTGTCAGGTCCTATGAGAGCAGGGTAGCAATTCCTGTGAAATAAGCCACCCATTGTCACGTGTCCCTTCGTAGAGGGCCTGAAACACTGTTAGTCCTGGAAATAATAAATACAGGGAATTGGCCAAGGCTGGCATGGCCTCACTCTGTTTACTAGGAATACGGAAAGAGAAAAACAAAAAAATTACACTGAAGAAAGCAGCCAAATTCTATCTAGGTCAGGAAATTGTTAACATTAGTGATATGTTGACAGCATGAACTCCTGAATTGTGACACATGAGAAGGCCTCCACTAAAACACAACTCGTATTAAAACATAAAGTAAGCCAGATCCCAGGATACATGGCCCATACTACTCAGAGCTGTCAAGATCGTGATAAATAGGAAAGTCTGAGAAACAGTCCAGAAGAAATATAATTTAGGATAAGATTTTTAAAACAACAACAACAAAAATGACATTTCCGATGAAATTCAAGACAATTTAATATCTATAAAGTTTGAATTCCTGGTAATGTACCAATGGTGACTTCTGATTGTGGTAAAGGTAATGTTAACAGCAGGGGAAGCGTATAGGTGAGAGACTTATCTTTGGTGAACCTCAAATAAAAGTTATTTGAAACAATATGGTGCAGTTTAAAATGTTATGTTTATTCCTGTGAATCCTAGCTATTAAGGAAGTTTTATTAAAATACTTGGTTTCGAGTTTTAATAAGTATTCTTTCTCAATAGTTGTAACAATATATCTGAACCAGTTAGAATCTAGTTTTAAAGAACAGCAACTTTATCACAATTAGTTACAGCTCTCTCAACTAGTCACAAAATTCTCAACCATTTAGTTTTACTAACCAGTATATTTCCTCGATAAGAAACACTGCTCATTGTGGTGATCATTTGACAGTCTGAGTCTGTTCCCTAGAAAAGAACTTCTTAAAACATTTTCTACTCATGGCCCTTCCTTTGCCAGAAAATTGTATTTTACACTTGTTGTATAGGTATATAAAACAGGTACAATTCAAACCTTTTCTGATAATCTTAAATTAATTTTAACACAATTCTTTCGTATATGTATAATTTTGTTTGTAATGCAATTTGCATACTAACAAAATGTATATGCTTGTTTATTTTTACATAGAGAAATAGGCTAGTCTTTGACATTACAGAACATAAAGCAACATTTTTCAAAATAGGTGAAACTAAATCAACTGTAAAAGATGGAAAGCTGCTGGGGAGACTATCTCAATTGGTAGTGTTTGCTGACTCATAAAGGAACCTGAATTCAGTCTTCAGCTCCCACATTAAAAACAAACCGAACAAATACAGCTACCAGCACCTGTAATTCCAAAACTGTAGGAGTGAACAATGGAGAATCCTGAGGCTGGCGGACTGACCCTGTCTCAAAAAAATATGGCTATTTGAGAACCTGTACCAAGTATGATAGATAGTCCCTCCTGAAGAGCAGGCTTCAAATCCAATCAGAAAGATTTAGTTGCCCCTAACAGTTGTTACACCATTGCATTAGTGAGCACATCTTGCTTGGCAGGTAGGTGTTAGTGCTCTTATCCAGTGCATGTGGGGGGGGGGGGGGGGGGGGGGGGGGGGG